GCTTGGGCACTGCCAAATACAATTCGGGTCGGGCTTAGGCAGACCCCCAACCCGCCCGAACCCGCCCGAGTTGCACCCCCAAGTGATAGTGATATCTACGGTTGTATATCACTGGATAAATGTCACTATTATTTTTTACATCCTACATGCATCATACACAATAAATGTCATGTATACATATAGCATGGTGTAGGTAAAAAACTGTGAAACCCATTTGGTAACGTCATCAACGGCACTCAACAACTTACCATCTTATAACATTACAAGATTATATGAAATTTTCAAACATCATCCTCCAAGATTTCAATTTTCACAACCCATGGTGCTCAACAATTATCATCTTACCTCATTACAAGTTCAAGTGTTAACAACAATGTTAAAATACCATCTCATATCCCATGTATCAAGTATATTGTTATTATGTTAAACATTTGGTGGAACTTACTCTCATACATCCTCTTAATACAAGAAAGTAAATAATTTCAAAGACATTTTCATCATTTTGTAAAATCCCCAATTTCTAGGGTTTTTATTTGAGAACAAACTTGCCTCATTTTCTAAGAGAAACACCATCAAATCATTCATCATGCATTTAATAGAGGAAAACCCCCCAAAAATATAGTAAAAGATTGAGCTACAAACTCTCTTTGAAAACCCTCTCTACATTTTGAAGAAAAATCAAAATCAACACAAAACCTCAAGAACACTTTTAAAATAAAAATCACTATGGAAAAACTTGTATATATAACTCAAGAAATCCCTACCTCAAGCTTGATGAAGAGAGAGAAGATGAAACCCTAACTCCAAGATGAGAGAGAGCTTTGATTCCTACCCCACCAAGTGAAGCTCTTGCCCTAAATCTTCAAGATTAGAGGAAAATGTTGATGATCTTGGCTCAAGATTTGCAAGAATCCAAGTGTTGTAGATGTTTGAGGGAGTTTTCTAGAGAGAAGGGGGAGAAAAATAGGGTTTAGAGTGAGAGAGAAGTGAGCAAAATGTGAGATACATTCGGATTAAAAAAAGGGAAAAAAACAGGGCTCGGACTGCCCAGTTGACTGCTCGTGCGGCCTTCTCCACCGCTCGTGCGGCCCACCTTGACTGCTTGTGCGGCCCACTTTCTCCGCTTGTGCGGCCCTTTTCAGAATGAAATTTTCTGTGTGGCAAGCTTCACCGCTCGAGCGGCCCTCACCACCACTCGAGCGGCCCTCCTCCGCACGTGCGGCCTCAGGCCCCGCACGTGCGGCCCTGGACCAGCACCCCAAGTTTTCAACATCGCTCCCGGCACCCCGGACTCACCCGCGCACCCTCTGGAATGACCGAAATTCAACACCGAAAGGAACAAGAATTAGGAAACCATTTCCGGACATTTCAATCCAACGAAAATAAAAGAGAATGAAGCGAAGAAAGAAATAAGAAAAGGGAAAAAGAAGGCCGGTCGTCACATCCTCCCCACCATAAGAAATTTCATCCCCGAAATTTGAATAGACTCACTAAACAAGAGTGTTCTAGCAATAATAGCTATTTCAACAACATTATCAGATTACAACATTTATGTTCAACCAACATTAAGTATTCTTCTTATCATCAATTCATCAAAACATAACTACTCAAGCTTAGAGTGAGATGAAATATCTATACCCATATATCATGCTCTTTATCATCATTTTCCAAAATAATAGTTTTCTCATATCAAGTTTTTGGACTAAAACATTCATAGCAATTATCTCTCTTTCATAATCTCAAGCTTAGATTAACAATACATACAACAACATGCGATCAACAATTTAACACATTTCCCTTCAACACTAAGGGACATTACAATTTAAAACAAACGACTAAGCCTTTTCAAATAAGTCCAGATACTTGGAGCGGACTTCCGCCTCTCTCTCCCAAGTCGCTTCCTCAATCCCATGGTGTCTCCACAACTCCTTCACTAACGGTATGCTCTTGCCCCGTAACACTTGTTCTCGGGTATCTACAACTTGAGCCGGTCGCACCTCGTAGAAGGCATCCTGATCCACCTCCAAATCAACCCAATCTAGCACATGAGAAGGGTCAGGTTCGTACTTCCTAAGCATTGACACATAAAACACATTGTGAACCCCCGAAAATTGTGGCGGTAAAGCTAACCAATATGCCACTTCCCTAATTCTCTCCAATATCTCAAAAGGCCCAATGAACCCCAGAGACAACTTACCACTCTACCAAACCTCATCAAACCTCGCCTAGGTGGGATCTTAAGGAACACATGATTGCCCACTTCAAAGAATAGGGTCGCCTCCTCTTATCGGCATAATTTTACTATCAGTTTTGGGCCGTAGTTAACTTTCTTCGGATGAGAGCAACTTTCTCGGTTGTCTCCCTAACAATCTTCGGACTTAACAAACTGATGACCTACAAGGTTGGCCATACAAGGCCTCAAACGGTGCCAAGGAAGACTTCCCACCCAACCAAGGAAACACAACACCAACTTCCGGCTACAACCAAATTTAGAGTACTACCCCGACTCTAAAAACACCAAGGATACCGAATTAGTCAAGAACACAAGGAAAGGTCACAGACTTCCCCTCGATTCACACCACTCACTGGGTCTATGAGGAAAGAACAACAAACAACCATGGCAACCACACGCACACCCCGGGTATCCACCACTACTAGCCCAAACACTCTTTACGGCCAACACTCTAACAAGATGGAAACTAGATTTTTTTTACCACAAGATCCTTGGTTACCTCGTTTAAGAAAAAGGTTACAACAAAACACGGCTCAAGACAAGACTTCGGACTAGCAAGTTCTTACAATGCCCAACAATCCACATAACCGAACGTACAAAACTTGAGATTTAGAAATACTATTAAAGTGGTTACACCATCACAACTATAAGGGTACATCAATTAACAACTCAATTCCAAAAGAAGGTTTTCATCTTTTTCTCAATCATTGGTAAAAGTCATCTCTTTACATGCAAAACATTTTCTCAAAGGTGTTCCAAACTCACACCGGTCACAAGTCAAAAATACATTTTCTTCCTTTCAAGCAAAAATCCACAATTTGTTCATTTTAATTTCCGTTCCATCGTAACAACCGGCGGATCTCTGCTGTTAACCAACAACACCCATCACCCACATGGTGATGCTACAACCGGAACAACAGAACATAGCATTTCCACAATATTAATTAACAGGATACAACAATTATACCATTCCATTCGGCCAATAACGTTATTATTACCACACAAGTTATTATTCACACATGATAACGACATGATCACATAAACTAGTTAAAATAGGGATTGTTCTTGTCATCTTAAAAGAAAAGAAAATCTTTTTCTTATTTATACATTTTCTCCAAAAAAAAAAATTTTTTTGAAGGAATCGTGTTATAAACTTCGAGTAAAAACAATTTATTTTGTATTTATTTTTCCCCAAAACAAGTCTTAAAATCTCACCCCAAGGGTTTTTAGTTAAAATAGAAATGCCATGAAAGTTTTCAAAAACCAATAATCACTTATCAATTTAACTCCTCAACAACACTTGGTGAACTCCTACCATTACCCAATCACATCCATCACACTTACAGTGTTTTCACAATGAGACAACCACATCTTCCAATACAACAACAATTAGAAATAATCATGGTGTTAAATGGAATAATGCAACACACACAACTTTCCAAACTCCGAAAGTTCCGTACCAACACAAACATTAACTAAAAAGAGCAATGGTACCCAAAAGCCTATGAGTATTCCCAACCCAGAAGCTAACACTCTGCCTCTATTCACGGCTTCAAAAACTTACACAGAGATGCGCACACTGATAACCACACATAAACGCAAGGCCCAACGCCCTAGGCACAACCCACGGCACCACGCTACCTTCTAGCCAAATTGCACTAATTTTCCAAAAGCTCAACTTTACAACCCACATCTAAACCATTCTAAGGTGACTATTTGTCACCTACCTTGATGCTACTCAACTTAACTAATCACCCGAGAGTTTTTGCTCCCGGTCTTCAAGCACCTACATACCATTCCCAAAGGAATTCTACTCACACGCCTAGATAGCCAACACACTCTTATACCCAACACAAGACCGAGTAGGTCAACGGTGATCACGCAATCCAGGTTACCCAAGACAATTCTTACTAATGGTACACTCGTTACCTAAAAACACCAACCATTCATCACTCCCTCAAGATGCAAATCTCACACTCCCTAGACATTCCAACATCACTTCCACCAATCTTCACGAAACTCTAAGGTCTCACACTTCCTCAAACTTAACACAATAAAGCTTTTAAAATTTTGGCCCTCATCCTAACACTACGTTTGTCACAAAAATTCCACAGACTTCTCAATCGCCATCTACAATTTCTAAACTAAACAAAAATGAAAGGCCATCACAAGACCATCACAAAATTCAACAGTTGATACACAATAACACTAGGATCACCAATTCCCTTTACACATACATAACAAGGAATTTAAGTTTCATTAGTAAGCCCCAACACATGAGGGTAACAAACAATAATACATACACAACACATAACTACGACGCCTTAGCATCCTACAACACACTGATCAATCACAGAAGTTTCACAATTTGTAACATAGATCTCTAAAACAAAGGTCCCTCTCAAGGGTGATACTACCGTGCTAGTTTAAAAGTCGACCCTCGCGAAGCTTCCGAAACCAGGCCTCTTCAGATCTAATACCGATAACGTCCCCAACTGGACTGATAGGACAAAGTCTGACTAAATTCTGAAACACCGGAGGGATCTATACGTAAAGGGCAAAAACGTTTAGCATGGCCCTGCTGACCACAATCAAAACAAACAACAGCCTCCCAACTTTGAACCTGATTTGGAGCCTGAACCTCATTGGATTCCCCAACGGACGAGCTTGAAACCCTTGATGAAAACAAGGACCGAGTCTAGGAGTGAGCATGCGCTCGCCTCCACCTCTTGCTAAGTCTAGTGTGCTTATGAACTGTAGGAGTTACCGAAGTGGCCTCCTCCCTAATTCGACCAACACTGCTAACCACAGCCTCGGCATGGGCCGCCGCCTCGACTAGATCAAAATAATTCTCCCACATAGAACCAACCACCTTCTCCCAGATATCATCACGCAACCGCCTCTCAAACTCATAACAACAGCGCTCCTCTGTTGCCACCAATTCCGGAGCAAATCTCGAAAAACTAGTGAACCTCATCTCAAACTGAGCCAAAGGAGTAGCACCCTGGCGCAACTCGACAAACTACTCTCTCAACCTTTCCCGAGCAGAAGGAGGGAAATACTTGGCCAAGAAGACCTTGGTAAACGCAACCCACGTGGCACCTATGGTACCCTTCACATGCTTCCACCAATAGTTCGCAGCCCCCTTCAATTGGAAGGTCGCCAAAGAAATCCTTAACCATTCGTCCTCGACTCTGAGCATGTCAAGAGTCTTGGTAATCTGTTCCAACCAACTCTCCGCCTCCAGCGGTCTTGTCTCTCCCAAAAACTCCGGTGGATTGGAGCGAAGAAACTCCTTAGTAAACTTGAGGGTACGCCCGTTGTCCCCCTCATTGCGAGCTAGAGCATCTTGCACCGCTCTCACAACCTCGCGTGCAAGTTTCTTGCCGACAGCCGATGCTGTAACGACAGGTGCTAGGGGAACTGCCATGCCCCCACTGACACTCCTATTACACATCCATCCTCTAGTTCCTCGTGTTCGAATCCTTTCTGGCATCCTAATTAAGGAACAAAATAGATAACTTAGAACATAATTCCAAATGTGCTCGCAACTTGTCTCACGCATTAAACTAATACAATCATATACATTCTAACACACGAACAATTCAATTCACTCCACATAAGCCCATAGTCACGTAAACACATACGAATTATCCTTTAGTGATGTGATTCGTCCCACGAGAAACCAAGAATTCTTAGTAGAATGAGCATTGATCAGGTACCCTTCTAATAAGATCTCAATGAATCTAATAGGTGCAAATAACATCCCAAAAGTCTAATCTCATGCCCACATAGTCACATAAGCATGCTGTCACATAATCACAAAACGAAACATTTCTTAGTCATGCGAAATGAACCCATTGTGGTGTACCAACCACTTCCCGTGAGCCCCAAGTATTCAAACCTGGTAGCTTTGATACCAAGTTGTCACGCCCTGAAAATAATCCCACATAACTATTACATTAACCCACTTCCAAAATGAGATATTAACCAAGTTCCTTTACATAATTTCAAATGTTTACAAAAGTAATCTCACATGCGATTGTACATTTATTTACAAACTAGTACATAAATCTATAACATGTAAAGGAAATCATTGAATCACAATGAATAAGGTCCTCAAGGGCTTACAAGTTCCAAGGCAATAGCCCGGTTACATAAAATGGCCTCTTGGACCCATATACATTAGCCCTTGGCTTTTACAAAAATTACAACTAAAAATAAAAGAGCTATTTACTCTTCACAAAAAAAAAAAAAAAAAATCCACGCCCACAGTTCGGCGGGGTCATCACATCCTTACCTGCATCAAATCCCACAGGGGTGAGCATGAAGCCCAGTAGAGATTCCTCACAAAGTATATACAGTTATGCCAATTCCCTCTACATTAAAAATGCATACGTAATGCCATGCAAGTGCCAACATGAAGGAAAGTTTTATTTTAATGCACTATTTCAAAATCACCATGTTTTCAATAATACTTTGTAATCTCATTAATTTCAAACTTCCAATATTTAAATCAATGGAGGCGGTAAATACGCCACTGGTAATCCCTAGGATGGTGTCTGCAAGTAGACTCTACAAGTACTACCAAAGTGTCATTTTTACCGGTATTAATCGGAAGACTCGACACCTATCCGCGCGACTTTCTGGTCTTGCACCAAGGACACTCAGGCCAACTTATCAAGTTCAACTACATCCCATATCTGGACTTACCAACGTATTTACCCCATACGCAATTCCATAGTTCACATTACAATGATCTTTCTCAAAATAAATGTTTTTCCAACTCATGTCAAGATATGCAATAATGACAATAAGACAATTGAGAATATGATGCAATAACTACTAACTTATAGCATTCCTCTATATTCAAAAATCATGCCTTCAACAATATTCAACATCACATTTTCATTTCCTCCTTTCCATATTCTTCCACAAGATACCCATATTTCTTCAATACATGGTTACGATTTCTCATTTCGCACAATAGTCATGTGTCTTCGACACACCATAACAATCTCTCAACAATAATTCATTATGACCAAACTTTCAATATGTCTAGCATGCCATCTTTCATTCCATTTCCCATTACATTATGATTAAGCATTTTCACGTCATCAATGGCACTCAACAACTTACTATCTTATAACATTACAAGATTATATGAAATTTTCAAACATCATCCTCCAAGATTTCAATTTTCACAACCCATGGTGCTCAACAATTATCATCTTACCTCATTACAAGTTCAAGTGTTAGCAACAATGTTAAAATACTATCTCATATCCCATGTGTCAAGTATATTGTTATTATGTTAAACATTTGGTGGAACTTACTCTCATACATCCTCTTAATACAAGAAAGTAAATAATTTCAAAGACATTTTCATCATTTTGTAAAATCCCCAATTTCTAGGGTTTTCATTTGAGAACAAACTTGCGTCATTTTCTAAGAGAAACTCCATCAAATCATTCATCATGAGTTTAATAGAGGAAAACCCCCCAAAAATATAGTAAAAGATTGAGTTACAAACTCTCTTTCAAAACCCTCTCTACATTTTGAAGAAAAATCAAAATCAACACAAAACCTCAAGAATACTTTTAAAATAAAAATTACTATGGCAAAACTTGTGTATATAACTCAAGAAATCCCTACCTCAAGCTTGATGAAGAGAGAGAAGACGAAACCCTAACTCCAAGATGAGAGAGAGCTTTGATTCCTACCCCACCAAGTGAAGCTCTTGCCCTAAATCTTCAAGATTAGAGGAAAATGTTGATGATCTTGGTTCAAGATTTGCAAGAATCCAAGTGTTGTAGATGTTTGAGGGAGTTTTCTAGAGAGAATGGGGAGAAAAATAGGGTTTAGAGTGAGAGAGAAGTGAGCAAAATGTGGGATACATTCGGATTCAAAAGAGGGAAAAAAATAGGGCTCGGACTGCCCAGTTGGCCGCTCGTGCGGCCTTCCCCACCGCCCGTGCGACCCACCTTGACCGCTCGTGTGGCCCACTTTCTCTGCTCGTGCGACCCTTTTCAGATTGAAATTTTCTGTGTGGAAAGCTTCACCGCTCGAGCGACCCTTCTCCGCATGTGCGGCCTTAGGCCCCACACGTGCGGCCCTAGCCTAGCACCCCAAGTTTTCAACCTCGCTCCCGGCACCCCGGACTCACCCGCACACCCTCCGGAATGACCGAAATTCAACACCGAAAGGAACAAGAATTAGGAAACCATTTCCGAACATTTCAATCCAACGAAAATAAAAGAGAACGAAGTGAAGAAAGAAAGAAGAAAAGGGAAAAAGAAGGCCGGTCGTCACATTTCCTAACACCCTAATAAAGGTAACACTTGAGATTGGTACAATCACAATTGTGCCGAAGCTAACTCACTCACGTCCTAAGGCAATGAACAACAGTTAATTCATTCCACATAAGTATATAGTCACATAAGCACATACAGATTTTCATTCCAAACAAATAGATGTATAGACAATAGTTTCTCCATCTGTTACTGTAACAGTAACACTAGCTTGTCTCCCCATGTGACCTGTCTCAACCAATATATGCCTATCGCCGAATGGAATTTTGACAGAGTAAGGCTGAGTGTACTGTGCTGCATTGCTCGTCGATTCTGAAACTTTCGATTCGACTGAGACTTTAATATGAAATCGAGGAGGCCTCTTTGATGACGGAATGAGAGAGAAAGAAGAAGGCAAAAGTAGAGTCTTTTGGGGGTGAAGATGGCAAGGGCAAAGAGAAGGGGAGAGAGAGAATCTGTATCGATTGTAGTGAGTAAATTGAGGGAGTGAATGCTGAGAAACGCCATGGAAGCTAGGTTTTGCTAACATTTTTGGTTCAGAGAAGAGTGTAATTTACACTGGTTAGTAAGCATGAGAGAGCTCAAATGCCAGTGAAAGAGAGACTTATCCATTTGTTTCTCTCTCTAGTTTTGTAGACCAGACCATTGTGGATGCTTCAAACAAGATGAATAAGAAAAGAGAAAAAGGAATGAGGGGAAAGGAGTGGAGGGGCAGCCCCCCCCCCCCCCCGGACAATAATATATAATATATATATTATATTATATATGTCTATATCAGCACACACAAATCTCTTAGGCTACATATCCATGTATATATATAAATTGGGTGTGTGCGTCTGTATAATGTGTATTTGAGGGCTTTTTTTTAAAAAATTTGGGTCATCACATTATTTATATAGCGAATCGATTTCAAACAATTTTTAACGTATATTTTAAAATATATTATTAACATTAATAATAACATATAATAATAAAAAATAGTACATATTTGAATTTACAAAAAAATTTATCAATATTTCACTTTTTAATTCTATTTAAATTATTAGATATTAGATTTTCATATAAAAGTATATTTTAAATATAAAATATGAAGAAATTTTAGTATCTTTAATCACCAAAATTGATAAAAAGTAAAAAAAAAAAACCAAAAAAAAAAAAATTGAAAAACAGATTTAAAAAATAAAACCAATGAAAGTGGTTCTTATTTAGAATTATTGATATTATACCTTCGTTATTAAAGTGCCATGTAAAATATTACAGTTCATAAAATATAAATTAAACAGAAAGAAAGTGTATGAAGATAACTTACGAATTTTTAAGATGCAGTACAAATATCTGTTTTTAAAAACGCATGCACTTTCCTCTGTTTAAATTTGAACGAATGCATACAACTTTAAGATTAACCACAATTATTCACAGTGATTTGGTCCATGATGAGCAATTGTAAATATTATGTATATCAGTATAGAAGCAGACACAAAAAATAAGAAAAAATAATTATTTTTTATTCTTCAATCATCATCAATGTAAAACGGAGACATTTTTTTTTTATATATAAGAAATGAGACCGTTTATTTGTATTTATATAGGATTCTGGAAACAAATATATATCTTTTTTTAATATTCAATTCTAAAAATAAAGAGATAGTAAATTTATATCGGACTC